ATAAATAAATAAATAAGTAAATGGTGCAGTAGGGTGGAGGCTTGGTGGTGAGCTGTGAAGCATAAGCGAGGAATCGCATACGTCGAATCGAGTCGTCGAACGTCGAACCTTACCACTGAACCACCACGATCGATTCGCTCATCACCAAGCCTCCACCCTACTGCACCATTACAAACTTTACCTGCTCATAAGTTGCTTGTGAAATGCAGGTTGCAGTTTTGCTATCTATATTTGTAAATAACCTTATAGACTCTATCGATCTACCCAGGTCTCCATTCAAAGTTCCATGGTAAGTTGGCGGACTTCCCTGGTTAGCAGCTTTAGGTTTGTTATTGAGCACCAGGGCACTATTTACCCTTTACTGCCCCAGCCATCCGAAATCAGGCCAGTTCCTGACCGACTTTTTTCTCCGTGGGCAGAATTTGCTGAAAACTTGGCTCCAGGGGTAGTTCGACCCGCTGAACACGAATATCGCATCCGCTTGACCCGAAACCTCCTGGCGCCCGCGCCACGGGCGCCGGCGCCAAAATACTCGAAATCACCAAATTCGCTGAAAACTTGCTCCCAGGGGTAGTTTGACCCCCTGAACACGAATATCACATCCGCTCAACCCGAAACCTCCTGGCGCCCGCACCACGGGCACCGGCGCCAAAATACCCCAAATCATTGGCGCCTGTGGCGCGGGCGCCAGGAAGTTTCGGGCTGAGCGAATGTGATATTCGTATTCTGGGTCAAACTACCCCAGGAGACAACATTTGAGCAAAATCTGCCCACGGAGAAAAAAGTCGGTCAGGAACTGGCCTGATTTCGGATGACTGGGGCAGTAAAGGGTAAATAGTGCCAGCACCAGTGCCCAAAATATGCAAACGCGCGGTTGTCTGAAAACAGACTATGGAATAACGGAAAAACCTATGGGCTGACGTTGAGTAGTTCCTTTTTAAAGATCCAATATGTACGCTGTATAGTAGAAGCTCATGGATAGCTAGTGAAGTGAATGAAGACACAAAACATGCTTGAACCTTCAGGTACCGGAATTGAACTGCCGCAAGCCGCTCAACAAGCTCTCCAACAACAAAGTTTGGATCCCAGTATTCCTGCCATAGCTACTCAGTGCTTTATGTTGTCGAACATGTTTGATCCACGGACAGAAACTCGTCCTACATGGGCCATCGAAGTGCGGGACGTAAGTTTTATTTACCTCCATCAGGATATATTCATATTTTGTGGCGATCCGTGATCTGGAAGAATCATCTTTTTGATATAAGGCGTTGTGGGAAATTATTGTTTAATATGACCTCCCTCCCCTCCAGCTTAGTTACCATTTTACTAATTCCTCATCAAAAATTATTATCGGAGGGGGAATGGGCGTTAAGCGGGTAGAATCATTGAGAATAAAGCTTTTCTCAAGATTCGAATACGATCTTCCTTGGTCCCCAGTGCGACAGCTACGAACGCCCTTTTTTGAACCCCCAGCAAGGCAGCGTTCAGACTTTCCGATGACGCGAAGTTATCCGCAGACGGGAACTGATCAAGGCGCCGGCCGCTTTGTTTTGACAGAGTATAGGATGACAGGATGCCAGCGCTGCCTGCACACGGTGTGGTACTCTCCGGTTTCTCTACATTCTTCCAAAGTCCTGCGCCCAAGTGCTCTCAGACTGCATGATTGACAAGGCGCATCACTCTGTTTCTCCATACTCTCATAGCACAAAAGATGCAGGCGCGGATTGATTCCTACGGCTGCGTTCGCGTCTATAGGAGCGCCTGTCCAACTGTAGGCGTTGGGGTGCATCGACACGCATCATCGCGAGTTCTGCCTGATGGTGGCACCCTGTTTTGGCAGTTTTGCGTAACACCAGCGGGCGGAGCCAATCGATTTCTGTTCAACCTCCTATGGCCGAGTCTTCCTAAGTACGTGATCGCTTCTCACAGAGGGTACCCTTGAAATTCTAGACTTGATATCCCGCGTTTCGTCATGTAGGAAGATCATATAGTGAAAAAATCGCTAATTTTGGAATTTCAGGATGTTATTGAGGAGTGCTACAAGAACGGTGGTGCGCTTCATGTTTACGTTGACACGGCCAGCCCACAGGGTAATGTGTACGTGAAATGCCCATCAGTGGCTACTGCTCATAAAAGTGTTTCTGCCTTACATGGACGCTGGTTCAGTGGAAAGGTGAGGTCTTGCACTCAGTTTCATTTCATTTACGCGTTCATTTCGACTATAGGAAATAGTAAGACTAGTTGCCGCCGCTATAGTCGAAAGGGTTGCTTGGAGGCGCAGTGAAGTCTTTTCTGCGCTTTGAAGTGCGACGGTGGTCGTCTGTGCTCTCCCCCCTTGGGAATGGAAAGGATCGCTTTTGCTCAGCCGCTGCGTGACCTTGCTAAATTACAGGAGCGCCGGAGAACTTTCTGAGAGAAAGTAGTCGATAGTAGTACGCTCCATATCCCGAAAATTGAGGGCGTAATTGCGTACTTCACATGACACGGCGTAGAATGCGTTTTTCACGGGTTATTCCATCTGGAACAACTTGTTGTGTGACAAAGGCTTGCTTACCTTTGTTCCAGAATGGCAGCCTCCTAAAAGCGCAACAGCTGCCACGTTCGAATGAGGCACGCAGCCACGCCCATCCAATCTCCGGGTAAATGGTGTAGCAGTCCGTCACTTCTTTAGCCGTAACATTTTTAGCTTTTTGGGAACGGTGTGGGAACTATCGAATGCATTTCGATGCTTGTAGCGCTTTATAAATTTTTATAAATGATCTGAAAGAAGCGATGGTTTCATCAGATTTCGCAAATTTCTACTTGTTGGGTTGACAGGACAGTGGGGAAGCAGCGAGAGGCAAAATGCCAGCACCCAGCAGCCAAATCGCATCGAAATCGGCATCGAGGTCAAAAATCTATGAATTTTCAGGTCATTACTGCAAATTACGTACCGGTATCTTCTTATCATGAATTATTCCCTGACGCAGTTCTTGCACGGAATATCCTAGCCCCAAAACCTCAGGATAGTATACCGGTAGCAGCAACTACTGTAAGCTCATTTGCACCGGTAGCAGCAACTACTGTAAGTTTTTGAAGATAAATACATATCTCTGTTCACAACAGTAGAACATTCATGTATTTGTAGGCCCACACCGCGAATTTCGCTGTGCCAGCTCCTCCGATGTCCGGTTATGGTGCACCTCCCCCTCAGCCTGGATTTTACTGATTGTTACTACTTTTTGTTATGAATTTTGAATTTTATTAACGTGTGTTTCTTTTGAGGTGACTTGCTCGTTGTTTCAATCACAAAGCTAGTAGTTATGTGAGATGATGAAATTAGCCATTGTGGCGTCATTGTTCGTAACTTTGGTATGTTTTCGTGTACTATTTGTTTATAGTTTTTCCCATTTGTTGTACAAGTAGCGTTGCCCATGAAGTACCGTTACTACCGTATATCCCCATGTTCTCTGGTCTCTTGTTCGATGAATTTCGTTGCATAACAGTGTTTTTTTTCATTGAAGAAAGCGGGGCTTAGATAGGCTTTGCAGGATTTCGGATGGGCTTGGTTTGGCTGGTACAGGGCTGTGAGTTCCAAAGTGAAGTCAAGGGTAAAGTACTTGGTCGTGAGCTGTCGCGTCGTCGCACGCGGCGTGTCGTGCGAAATTTTCGGAAATTTCAGTGTGCATCAGGACGACGGCTGGGGTAACGAAACTTCCATGAACGCAAGTAAAGACAAAACTCAATGACGGGCGATATGGAGTGTCCCAATATCTCTGATAGCCACATGCAGACGGCGAGGCAGGACAACTCGTCCGCCAGGCGGGGCATTGCCAGCCATCACCATATTACGATTGTCCTGTCACATACGGCGCCAATGCTGCGATTTGCTTCAATGTCAGCATAGGAGAGGGGGGGGGCAGAGTGAGACACCCAGGCTGTGGTCAATATATGAAGTTCCCATGGCAGTTTCTGAGACAGGTGGTTTAACTGCAAGAAAATGTCCCAGTTACTTGTTTATACGGGGCAATATATTCAACACAGGAATCCGCTCTTCAAAACTTGAGCTAGCTGTTTCTGCCAAGTTTTGTGCCCGTTAAAATATCAGATCCTCGGCGCAAAACATGGGACCCGAACTACTTATGGTCACCCTAAAACACCACAGATCTTAGCCTTTTAGGATTCTTTCCCAGGGTAGTTTCAGTTTCTGAGCATGAATGTCATATCTATTAGGGTGAGAAATGTCTGATTCTGGCTCTTGTAGTGCCCAACTGAGGAGCTGGGTAAACGCATTTGGCGCGTGCCTCAAACTGTTGTCGGTGAACTGAAAAGTGACAAGGCGGTCTGTAAATGGACATGATTATTGCTGGGCAGTAGTCAGTCGATGCAGGACCCTAGAGCCATTGAGAAGCCTTGGGGAGAAAAGCGTGTCAGACATCAATCTTTCAGTTCTAGTAGGATTATTAGCTATGAACTTAATATACAGTTTTCGAATGACATGCCTACCGTCTGCTTACTACTTTTAAATTCAGACGTTGAAAAGGGTGTGTCTACGGACTTGAGTAAGAAAGACGGCGGTAGACAGTGAACGTTTCAAGGAGAAAATGGTCAGAGACGTAGAGGCGCGTCTGTTTTTTTGTCACTCTTTGCTCTCCTACGTTCACGCTGCCTGGTTCTGTACGCAAACCGGCAACTGGCTACCACTGGAAAGTTCGTTGACACACCTCTCCCAACTCTGAGATATAGATGTACTGTGGATGTAGTTTGCGAAAAACATCTTACCATTAGACTATCTTAATGGAACGTTTTCAAATAAAGTTCTTTATTCACTAAAGATTACATTCAAATGGAAACTGAGACGTAATGTTTCGTGATGTTTTAGTACGCCTTTGGTGCGCAGCAAACACATGTAGGACCTTGTCCTTGCTCTCCTGAAACGGATACATTAAAAATTGCAGAGTCCTTTGCTCAGAGAACAACCCACGCGCTTGTGGCCTTGGAGGGGACTGTGAAGAACTGCTTATGGCAAAGTGGGTAGAGTGCACCGCACAGCATTACCGTATTTGAAGCTGGTTGAGCTACGCCAGAGCACCTTTCCTCCCTCAGGACTACGCTATCCTCATCGCAATCACAAAAACTCTGATTTTACGCAACGAGCTCTTCAGATGTCCCCTCCATATAAGCGCTCAACAAATGATGAGCGCTCAAACACCTTTAAAAATCAGAAGAGGTGATGCCTCAACGGGGGATGTTGCTTCATTTGCAGTGCATCATTACACCAACAGAAGGCGATGTAGGTATTCCAATCGAATCCAACAGGAGTTACTAGTATTCTGGCCACCAGTTAGCAAATTGCTCTAGACCTCCGTCGGTGCAACCTCAGAAAGCGGCTTTCCATGAAGATGTCTATAAGCTTTCTCTACCACATTGCATAGGTTGAATCCCTATACTAGATATGGGCATCATGATGGAGGAACGTTGTTCAGTAGCGGCGAATAGACCCCCCCCCCCCCTTCCTCCATTCCGCCGCTCCTCGTCGCTCATTGCCAGTTATGACCAGCTCCTGACCAAAAGACTAGTTCCATAAACCCGGACCTCATCTGTTCTGGACTGACCTATGACATTACAGGAGAAAAACTCTTCGAGCGAGGGAAGAGAATGGGGGGGGGGGAGTAGGTGGAGAGAGCGAAGGTGTTTTGAGTAAGAACAACGGTTAATTCTCAGCGGTTATTGGACCCTAAAGTGAGCTCTTCGTTACTCATCTACCATTTTCGTAGTAACATACTGGAGGTTGGTCGGATTGGGGTGGACGATACCTACCTCAGGATGATCAGATGAACGCTGGAAGTCCATGTCAGGATCGAAGACGAACAACGCGCCAGTGATTCTGTTCTGAAATCGATTGGATTGATTATTGCTTATTGATGAACGACAGACGAAGAAAAAAACTCACCGCCGGAACTTTCTCGTTCACACGGCTCGCGATCTTGCAGCACGTGTTACAAGCATCATATGAGAAGACGGCTGTGTAACGGCAAGATTGTCGTTCGAATTTGCGCATTCCTGGAGGTCCACGACGTCGGTGATCTGCAAAATGAGGGGGCAGGTTTGATTGGCTTCCTGACAAGGACACGCCTGCAACCGAATCGCTAAGTGAACGTCAACATATGCTATTGGGCTAGACGGTCCCCATAGGTGTTGAAACTTTCACAAAAGAGGACTTCAAGAAGTTCTACGGCATCGTTGAAATGAGGAACTCATAGAACAACTGGGCGCTCATGGGCTTAGGGGGGCATTTTGCTTATTCTCATAAATCACTGCTGATGCCTCCTATGGAGTCCTCTGAATTTCTGTAAAGCTGTGCAGTAGGGAGATCTTTCTTCACATTAGGCATGAGTCTACAGCTCTGACCAAGGTGTGACTTGTAATTTGACAGAAACTTAAGAAAGATCGAAATCACCCTCCCAGGCCGAACGACGTCAGCAATTGATATATATTGATAGGGTTCCCATTTGTATTGGCATAACTCTAACGGTCTCAGCAAAAAAAAATCCGGTGTGACTGGACGACCTGACAGGGAGGCTTGCTATGCACTCCTGCTGGAGAAAAGTATACAAGCAAAAACTACGAAGGATGCTAATGGGCGCTTCGGTCCACTTTTATTCGGATTGGATGCGACAATGTGCGAACTGCTTAGTTTCGATCTTTTGAATAGCATCAAATTTCTGCTGTTGTCTGCGTTCTCTTCACCATACAGCGTTCGGCGGCCAGCATTCTCGCACATGCCATAGAGCACGCCCTGCCGTTGGTAAGAATTTTGCAAAAGGCGACCCCCTTGAAATTCCCTTCTTTAGAAAGACCCGCTCTGAAGCAACCAAGTACTACCCGGTCGCTGGTTATCCTCTATGCATGGCCGTGCCAGTTCCTAATGTTGCGCCAGCTTTAACAAGAAAAACTTTCTTCTGAGTAAACATCATAATTACATGAAGGCTTACCTTTGTGATGTTTCCTAGCGCCAACCAATGGGAACGACGCGAATACGCTGCAGTAGGCCACTGTAACAGTGATATAAGTTGCAGCTTACACAGGAACTTCCGCACTTTCACAGGAACTGTTTTACATTCCATATCTCAAGACTAGGGAGGGCATGGTCGCGTACTTCAATTAAACATTTCGTGGGGTGTGCTTTCCGGGTGATGTTCCTGTCTGGGAC